GAGAACTGAAGACCGAACCTCTAAAGGACCTAGCGCACCAAGTGTGACTGTGAGAGAGTGTTGGTGCACAATGCTCTATCCCTAGAGATCTGCAAGCCAAGGTAGCGGCGCAGCTCTCCTAGGTCAGTGCAGGTGTGTCTCCTCAGCAGCTCGGCCTTCACGGCGGCCAGTGCGTCTCTGTCTGCAGTAGCACAGACCAGATTGTCTACGTAGACAACGCTGTAGAACGGAGTCTAGCCAGAACAAACAAAGAGGGGGGGGTCTGCAGATAAAGGGAAGAACTGCAAGTTAGCAAGTGTAGCACGCAGCATGTCGTGCCACTCACGGGGCGCCTATCGCAAGCCGTAGACGGGGCGCCGGAGGAGCCACTCGGTGCCAGGGGGGAAGGTACCGGAGTAGCCTTGGGGGCGGCGCAGGTAGACCTGCTCGTGTAGACTGCCCTAGAGGAAAGTTGTGGAGAAGTCAAGGGAGTGGAGCTCGTAGTCACGCTATGCTGCTACGTGTAGCAGCGCCCGAAGAGTGGTCATCTTCGGGGTCGGGGCGAAGGTCTGAAAGAAGTCTACCCCCTCACGCTGATTGAAGCCTCGAGCGACGTAGCGCACCTTGAAGATAGGCGGCTCTCGAGGAGGGCGCTTCACCTTGAAGAGCCATCGGCCATCAACTGAGTTCACCCCAGGTGGGGGAACTGCGTCGACGAAGGTACCGGTGGATCTCAAAGATGCCATCTCCTTCTCCATGGCAGCTATCCACTGAGAGGCCCAGGGTCCCGAGGTGGCCTCAGCGTAGGTGCAAGGGGTCGGGATGTCGAGGGCGTCTGGGTCACCCTCAGGGACTAGTATCATGGAACAGAGATGGGGAGCGGCCTCAGAGAGGAAAGCGAGCTTGTACTGCCTGCCCTCTACACCCCCGACAGTCGGAGGGCACGCACGGTCAGAGACCAGAGCGGTGGCGTAGTCTAGGCGGCGGGTAGCAGCAAAGTCAGTGACTGCAACGACAACAGCCGACAGACTCGAGACAGGAACGGACGGGTTGGTAACGAGAGAGGCAAGGACACGAGGAACAAGGGGACGCGTAGCACGGAGGAAGTCCGAGAACAGAGGCGGGGCCACAGCAAGCGACGACGGAGGAGGAGACAGGAGGAGAGGAGCACGAAACGCGTGAGAGCGAAGCAACATAGGGTGAGAACGCGGAACAGGGGAGGTAGGACGAGCACGAGACGGACGACGAGACCAGACGTGACACAGAGGAGTCGGGTCAGGAGAGAGGGGAGGAGACACAGGAGGAGAACGGGGAGGGAAACGAGTCGGAGAGGAGTCCGGGGGAGGAAAGACGGGGCCGTGGACCGGTAGAGGAGGAGGTGACAGCAGCGGGGGAGGCAGCGACGGGCGGTCAGGGGAAGGGAGACCGAGGAGGCGAAGAGCGGACACCGGCGACGACAGCTGCAACTTCTACTAGACTCCAACACCAAAACCTCCAGCGACAACACGACTCCCTCCGAGAAGCCCCACTCCAGCACCCCCAGAGCCCGCTCCAGAACCAGCTCCAGCCTGCTCCTCAGCACCCCCAGAATGCACGAACCCCAGTGGCGGTGACGACGGCGGTTGCGGCTGCGGCGGCAACGGCGGAGGCGGCTGCGGTGGGGACAGCAGCGGCGGCGATAGGGGAGGCCAGACCGGGGCAGGGACATGTGGGGGAAGAGACTCCGCCGAGCCGTGAGAGTCAGCGAACTCCTCTGCAGGGACAACCGACGGGAGGGGGGTGACATGAGACACACCAGACGGGGCAGGGTGGGGAGGGGGGTGGACAGGGTCGACCGGGGGAGGGGGGGTACCAGGAACTTGGGGGGAGTGACTTGGGGACCACGGTGGGGAAAGCGGTGGTAGAAGGAAACGGACTCGTCAAAAATGACGTCACGAGACTGAAAGAACCAGTGAGAAGGCGGGTGGTAGAACTGGCCGTCCGACGAGTCAAGGGGGTAACCTAGGAAGACACAGGGGACAGTGCGGGCAGTGAGCCTGTCCGTGCCAGAGGCACGAACGTGAGCACGGTAGCCCCAGACGTGGAACGCAGACGTGCCACCAGGGAACTTGGTCCAGAGGAGGGTCGGCAAAACCTGCGACCGCTGAGGGTGCGGCCAGAGGTTAAGCTGGTGAGCGGCGTAGCGAAGGGCGAACGACCACAGAAAATGGGGTGCACCGGCATGGATCATGGAGGTACGAGCAACCTCCATGACCAAACCGATGCGTCGCTCAGCGACCCCATTCTGCTGCGGGGAGTCCGGCAGGGTGAACACCTGGGTGATGCCCTCCGCACGATAGAAGCGATCAAGGTAGCTAGAGGCAAACTCGCCACCACGGTTGGAGTGAAGACGCAAGATAGGGAGACCTCGGTGAACACGCGCAGAGACAAGTCACGGGAGAAGAACGTCACGCACGTCGGCCTTCCGCTCCAGGGGAAACACGGTGGTGTTGCGGGTGTAATCGTCGACAAGCACTAGGAAGTAGCGCTCGCGACGCGGCCCATGGACGGGGGCGGGGCCCCAGGCGTCCATGTGCAGGGTCTGCAGCGGTGCCGAGGTAGGGGGGAACGAGGAGGAGTGAGGGGCTCGGCGGAGCCGGCCCTCGACACAGGGCGTGCACGAAGGCGCGGGTGAGGAGGGGAGCGTAGGGAACGACTCTGGGAGGCCTAGGACAAAACGGTGCTAGGACATGTGACGGAGACTGGTGAGGTCAGGGTGACCTAGACGGTGGTGCCACAGAAGTGACGGGTGAGAAAGCGACCGACACGAGCAGACCGCAGCAACCTGGGAAGATGCAGGTAACTGGGGAGGTGTCCCAACCGGGGGGGACGCGGTGTCCAGCGTGAATAGGCCAGACACTGGGTCCCGGGGGAACATGGTGAGGGGGGCACCAGTGGCGGCCTTAGTACAGACAGCGTACCGCTCGTGCCCAGGGAACGTAGTGGTGATGCCAAGGTCCTGGAGGCAGCCGACACCAACTAGGTTCCTAGAGAACGAGGGGATGAGCAGGCTTGTAAGGCAGCCTAAGGGAACCGCTGGATAGGGGAGAGTAGTGGAGCTACGGGCAACTACAGGACCGGAGGAAGGGTTTGAGCAACTGCAGCCGGAGTGGCAAGTGGCGTAAGCATAGTGGAGTTGCGAAAGAAATATAGGGAAGCGCCGGAGTCCAGGGCGAAGGTGATCACGGCAGCGGCGACAGAGGTCAGAGGAGCGAGGGTGGACCCTAGGTTTAACAAGGCAGGGGATCCTACACCCGACGCAGCAGGGGAGCCTGGACTAGGCACACTGGGCACACCTACGCTAGGCAACACAGGGTAATAGGAACCAGTCACACTAGAGTCATCAACATACATCGTATACAAAGCAGAGCTAATCTTATCCATGTCCATATCAAAGATCTGAATCTGACGACAAAGCAGACTGTGCCAGTCCGGGAGGTCCAGCGACGGGCCGAAGCGGAGACAAAACAGGTCGTCTAGGCGACGAAAGCAACGAGCGGGGGTATGGCCGATCTTATCGCACACGAGGTCGCGGCGAGGACCGGTCTGGAGCTGGTACTGGCAGCGCCCGTCACTCTGACCACCACCGACGGCACACCGCGCGAGCGACCACTGTGACCATTGTCACCTCCAGGTCCAGGCCACCCGGGCAGGAGACAACTGATACGCCGCCGCTGCTGCGGCTGCTGCTGCTGCACCTGCTGCTGCTGCTGGTCCAGCTGCGGCGCCTGCTGCTGCGCCGAGACACCAACCCCAGCCCCCTCGTCAGGACTACCAGCAGTCGGGCCACCTCCACCACCGGCACCACCCCCTTCTCCGCTACCTTCGCCGCGCCCAGCCTTGGGGCGGCGACCCTTACCCGGACGAAACTGCACGGCGGCAGCGGTCTCCACTGCCGGAGCCGTCTCAGCAACCGCAGCAAAACCGTCGGAGTAAGAGCACTGAGCAGGGGCACAACCCTGAAAGATAGAGACGGGCATGGTATCGCTAGACTGGGCGATAGAGCGCTAACGGGTCTCTATTGTAGACGAGGTGTCGACAAAGTCAGTGAGGGTGAGATCAGCGGGGTGGAGACTGAGGAAGTCTTCGCGGGCGGTGGCAAGGCGGTCAGGGAGGCGGGTGGCAAGCAGGTAGAGGGTAGAGCAGATGGGGGGCTTAAACACACGAAGCTGGGCCTCAGTGCAGGCAGTGCGCCAGGTCGTGTCTATCGTGCGCAGGTGGGCGGCTAGGTCAGCGACTGTGGGGAGAGACGCAAGGTCAGGAAACAGCATGGGCGGGATCAGGCGACCTATGGAGGCAGAGGGCGATTGGGTGGCAGGGCTAGCTAGGAGGCAGGGCCGTCGGGGCCGATGAGGCGGCCGGGCCAGCTAGGAGGCCGGGCCGACAGGGCAGATGGGGCGGCAGGGCCAGCTAGGGGGCGGGGCCGACGGGGCCGATGGGATGGCGGGGCTAGCTAGGAGGCGGAGCCGACGGGGCCGATTGGGCGGATTGGGCGGCAGGGCTAGCTAGGGGGCGGGGTCGGCTAGGAGGCGGGGCCGATGGGGCCAATGGGGCGGGGGGGGCGACGGGGCCGATGGCGCGGCGGGGCTAGCTAGGAGGCGGGGCCGACGGGGCCGACTAGGCAGCGGGGTCAGCTAGGAGGCGGGGCCGACAGGGCCAATAGGGCGGCGGGGCCAGCTAGGAGGTGGGGCCGACCGGGCCGACTAGGCGGCGGGGTCAGCTAGGAGGCGGGGCCGACAGGGCCAATAGGGCGGCGGGGTCAGCTAGGAGGCGGGGCCGACGGGGCTGACAAGGCGGCGGGGTCAGCTAGGAGGCGGGGCCGACGGGGCTGATGGCGCGGGGGGGCCAGCTAGGCGACGGGGCGGCTAGGAAACGGGCCAGCACGAGCGGGGCAGCCAGGACCTCGGGCGGAAGCGCTAGGGGGGGGGAGGGGGGGGAGACCTACCCACTCATGATACCATGTTAAAGTGAGAAAAGTTAACTAGAACAGGACATACAGGGGTATATAGCCTAATGGGTTGTACTCCCTAAGGCACAACCCTATATAATCTACTATAACATACAATATATATGTTTGTATGTTTGACACGAAGCGCTACTCACTCTCTTTTGCCTACAAAAGAGGGACGTGAGGCCATTCCGCCTCACCCACGTTCTTCATTTATAGTTTCTCTAGTTCAATTTCCCCGCCCATCCATCCTCTTGTGTGTGTAGTTCTTTGTTGGACGAGAACCATGTATGTTTCCCAGATGAAATGAAGCACGCTGCCTTTACAAGAGGACCTAAGCAAGCTTTCACAATGCCTCCGAATGCTCCATGCATCAATGCACCATGCATCCCGTTCAGAACCTACCCAGCACTCGGTGCCGATGCTGCTGTGGTAACCACAGTGCCAGAGACCTCAATGCTCAATGCCTGTGCTCTTGCAGTAACTCGCGAAGCTCTTCAGTGCCCATTCTCCTGCAGTAAATTGCCGCTGCTCCTCTCAGTGCTCGTGCTCCTGGAGGAATCTGAGTCCGCAGTACTTGCACACAGCAGGCTCAGGTGCGTCCACGTTGATGTACTCCACTGGATGGCCCAGGGCGGGGTTGGGACCTGAAGGGGGGCCATGGAGCGGATAGTGATAGCAGGAGATTGGGTTCACAGGGTGAGGGGTAGGTGCATCCATATTGATGCACTCCACTGAATGCCCCAGGGCGGGATTGGGACCTGACGCGTGGGGAGGATTGAAAAGGAAGAGAAGAGAGCAAGGTGATAACAAGAGGAGGTATTAAAAAGATGAGGGTTCAGCTGAGGTTGGGCGAGAGGGGAGAAGGGAGAGGGGAGAGGGGAGAGGGTAGGAGCGAATAGAGGCAGCGAGTGTGGTGACCTTAGGGCCTGTTCCTACGTGACACCATGTCAGGCTCATTCGTGTCATTTGGGATTTTACCCATAAAACTTGCCCGTCAACACAGTTTTGACACGAAGTATCGTGACATTGTGTCACGTAGGGACACGCCCTTAAAGGGCGGTGCATGCAAAGTCCCAACCTCCTGAATTGTCACCCACCTTCCATGCAGGCAACGATGCTCAAGTGCACTATAATGGGCGAAACAAGCCCTGCCCCCCCCTCTTTCCCCTGATTCCCCCCCACCTCCCCTCCCTTACCTCCCCTGCAGGCCACGATGCGCGAGTGCACGATAATGGGCGGCACGGCGTTGACGAGCTCCATGGGGGACGGCTTCTCCACCCTCTGAGTCAACACAGTAGGGGAGCAGGGAGGGGAGCAGGGAGGGGAGCAGGGAGGGGAGGGGCCGGACGAGGGAAGGAGAGCGAGACACAAAGGCAGGTTGCAGGTTACTTCGTAATTTGAGGCACATCCATTCATCAGTTCTATGGGAAGTGGCTTTTCTACCCTCTGCAGGCACAGGAAAGGAATGTGTGGAGAGGAGGTGAAAGATGACTTTAGAGTCGAGTCAAATGTCATGTCCAAGGGAGGTTGCACGGTAATGCACGGGACGGCGTCAATCAGTGGCATGGGAAGTGGCTTCTCCGTCCTCTGCAGTCACACGGAAGAAGACGGGGGGAGGGGAGCGGGAAGAAGACGGGGGGTGGGTGGGGAGGGGGGGGTGGGGGGAGAGAGGAGGAAGGAAGAAGGAACCCAGGATCCGCACGGCGTTCATTTGTGGGGCTGACGGTTGAAGGGTCCTTGGTCCTTGGTCCTTGGTCCTTGGTCCTTGGTCCTTGGTCCTTGGTCCTTGGTCCTTGGTCCTTGGTCCTTGGTCCTTGGTCCTTGGTCCTTGGGACTGTGGCGCGAACGCAAGGACCAGGGAAGCCATTCAAGGGGGACGGCATCCGACGACCATTTAGTTAAGGATTAGGCGGCTTTAAGGCCGGCACAGAAGGGCGGGGTCTGCTTTTGAGTCGACTCAAAAGCAGGGGAGGGAAGGGCGGATCCGAGCACCATAGAGCAGAAAACACCTGAATATTGCCGAGTAGGCCGCCCGCACCGCAGGGCAGGGTAGGTTAGGGGGGGATAGGGCAGGGTAGGTAAGGGTAGGGGTGGGTAGAGGAGGGTAGGGAAGGGTAGGAGAGGGTAGGAGAGGGTATGAGAGGGTAAGGGACGGTAGGGGGGAAGGACGGTGTGCGGAGAATGAGGGGATGGATGGTTGGGGGATGACACCGCCCACATGCACGCTCCCGCGCGCACGCTCGCACCAAAAAGAAGGCGGCATCTCAGCCGTGAAGGCGGCATCTCAGCCGTGAAGGCGGCATCTCAGCCGTGAAGGCAGCATCTCAGCCGTGAATCTGAGCCGTAGATTTCAAAACGCCATGGGCGATATGAAGCCGCCTGTAATCCGTCGCACTTTGTCGCTCCACGTCGCTCCACGTCGCTCTACGTCGTTACTACTGCCTGCGACGTATCGTCGGATGAGCGGCCTTGAGGCGCCTACGAAGCAGACACCGTCGCATTACGTCGCGACTACAAGCAAATGATCGCTTGACGGAAAAGAAATTAATCGCACGGTGATCGCTTATTGCTTGCGATCTCGTGCAAGGGCGAGCCGCACATGCAACGGGATAGGAATCGCTCGCGCGGCTTACGATGGAAAGTCGCACGTGCGACGAAGTAACGAGGGGGGGGGTAGTCGCACGTGCGATAGAAGGAGAGTCGCACGTGGGACAAAAGAGTAAGCGTCGCACCTGCATCCACTTGCTCGTGTGGTCGGGACCCAGCACCATCCCGCGCTCCTGAAGCAATCTACCAGGCTGCTGCTGACTCAGCAAAGCGCCGCACGATCGACCGCGACGAGCCACAGCCGCGAAGATGCGGGAAGCCATAGCGTGCGCCGCGGACAACTCCGGAACGCTGGAAGCTCTAGGGGCGGCACGAGAGGGTGTCAACACCTTGTCACGAGTTCGCCTTGTCTTGCCCATCAGCTGGGCCTCATTAGGTTGAGCTCGCTTGCCTGCGTAGCCTAAACATTGTGACCTTGGGCCGTGGTTTATCTCGTGAGTGGTTGCTCGTGAGGTCCAGTTACCCGGTGATGCTGTTTGAGTAATAACCATTAAACCGGTTGCGACTTTTGGCTCTACTGCAACCCCTCTCCTTCAAATGCAAAACACTCGAAGAATATGACATCCGAGTTCTATAAGGGCTGTACTTCAAAGCAAAGTGTTGTACTTTCTTACAAATTACGGGGCAGGGTTGCCCACAAATTTGACAACATGTGACAAGAAACCCAAACCCCACACCGAGAACCCAGCACTTCCGATCCAAACAACCATTAAACACTCCCTAAGTTGTTCTCACCATAGATCCCTTGGCATCTCACTTCCCAGTAACATAGCTCGCGGTCGCGGGTGCAGCTTCTGGTCTGGGCTAGGTTAGGCTGATCGCTGCGCTCGCCGTGTCCTTCCCACCGCTCCCCACCCCCCTCAATCCACTCACTCCATCTATCTGGAATCGCCTCGTCCGTTGGACCACCCCGCCTGCCACGACCCGTCCGACATAATCTCCACTCCGCTTTCCTCCACGCCACTCCGCTCGACCGCTCGTGTAGTCTTTCTTACAGGTCGATCGCTCTCATATCCGCTCTCGCCGGCTCGGCTCAGGAACGAATCTGCTTGTGCGCTTCGAGGTGTCCTGTGCGCTGGCCGGCTCTTGGAAGTTGAGGGCTTGCCGCCGCACAGACGGTGCACCAAGTTTGTCGAAGGGAGTTTAGAACGCTCGAGGCGAGGCGAGAAACGACGAAGCAATGGGGTGGAAGCCGGCGCAAACGGCGATTCGCGCGTGGAAAATACTGCGAGGCGATAAAGTGAGTGGCGAGGAATTCGGGGTTGCGCTGATGTGGGGCGATCCGCGTGGGTGGCGCGCAGCGACACAGGAAGTGACGAGGGGGTGCAGCGGTGATGCGGGGTGAAATGGGCGGGTGGGTGGTGCGATGCGGGGGATAATGTGGGGAGTGTGACGCACATAAGTAGGTGCTTAGGGCAATCGGATAAAGAAGAAGAGGAGATTCCGTGTCTGGCTGGGAGGAGGGGGCGAAGCGGTGACGAGGAAAAGACTGTTTGGAGTAACTCGTTGGGGAGAAGGTTTAGGAGGAAGGCGATGAGGAGGGCGATGAGGAGATGGGAGGCTGCAGTGGAAGCAAGAAGAAAGGAGACGCGGTGCTGTTTTGAGTGAAGATATCTCGAGCTACTTGTGGGGTTCCAGGGGGGCATGGGGCGTGACAGGGAGGGGTTGCGGTGTGCGAGGAGGGAATGGGAGGGGGGAGAGCATGGGAGGGCAGCGGATGGGGAAAGTATGAGAGGGAGGGAGAGGTGCGTGGAGGAGAGCGGACGGTTTGGGAGGAGTGTGCATGTTTGTGAGAGACAGAGAGAGTGAATCTGGGTGTGAGGGAGGGAGTGTGCATGTGTGCCAGAGTCCCCTTCCTGCCACAGGTGATGGGGATCGCAGGCACGGATAAGAATCGCTTACGCTCCACCCTGCCTTCGATGTTCCCTTTTCCCTCCCCAGGTGTTGGTGGTGGTGGGCAAATGCCACCTTCTTTCTACCCTCCAACCCTCCTCTTCCCCTCTCCCTCCACCCTTCCCCGCACGGCGCAGGTGATGGTGATGGCGGGCAAGGACCGCGGGCAGACGGGCACGGTGACGGCCGTCATCAAAGACAAGAACCGAGTGGTCGTCGAGGGACTCAACCTCGTGAGTGGCTGGTTGGATGAGGTGGTGGGGAGGTGGTGGGGAGGTGGGGGGGGAAGCGAGGAAATGGAGTGCGTGAGAGCAAGGAGTGAGGGCAGACGGACACAGTGACGGCAGGCAGCGATCAAAGAGTGGAACCGAGTGGTGGTGGAGGGGCTTAATCTGGTGAGCAGGTGGTGGAGGAAGGCCGGGCAAGGCAAGTGGTGGTGAGTCAGATAGGGGAGGGTGGGCATTGAGTGGGTCGTGGCAGCGAGGAGGGAGGGCAGACGGGCACGGTGACAGCAGTGATCAAAGGCAAGAACCGAGTGGTGGTGGGAGGAGACAGGTTGGGTAGCTCGTGGATGGAATGCGTTGTAGCAACAAGGAGCAACAGGAGCAAGGGCATGTGATGGCGAGGCGAGAAGAACTCAGTTGTGCTGGAGGAACTGATGCTGGTGGGCTTTAATGTGGTGGAGGGACTGATGCTGGTGGGCTTTAATGTGGTGGGGGAGGGCATGTGGTTGTGAGGCGAGGCAGCAGGGGATGAGGGAGAAGAGGCGCGGTGACAGCAGTGAGGAGGCAGCGATCCAGGCAGCGATCCAGGCAGCGATCCAGGCAGCGATCCAGGCAGCGATCCAGGCAGCGATCCGGGGCTGAAACAGAGTGGTGGGGGAGGGACTCAGCCTCGTGAGCTGGCAGTGGGGCCCCCACCGTAGGAGGAGGCAAGGCATGTAGCGGAGCGGTGAGGCGGAGGGGCGTTGAGTGAGTCACAGCAGCGAGGAGTGAGGGCAGGCGGGCAGGGCGGCAGCGGCAGGGCTGGCCCTGGCCCTGGCCCTGGCCCTGGCCCTGGCCCTGGCCCTGGCCCTGGCACCACACATCTCACCTCCCACAGTCCACCACACATCTCACCTCCCACAGTCCACCACACATCTCACCTCCCACAGTCCACCACACATCTCACCTCCCACAGTCCACCACACATCTCACCTCCCAAACCCCGTCCCCATCCCCCTCCTTCCCTCCGGCTCCTTTCCATTCCCCCCTCTCCCCACCAGGCGAAGAAGCATGTGAAGAAGTCAGCGGACTCGCCAGGGGGAGTCATCACAGTGGAGGCGCCCATCCACCTCTCCAACCTCTCCCTGCTGGACCCCGAGACTGGGTACGTTTCTACACTGCACTCGTGTCCCCTGGTTTTCCTGCCACAACCCCCCCTCCAACCCCCGGCCCCTGTATCGGTGTTTGAAACTGCGTGTGGTTCTCCTTACCACAGTGGACCCTGAGACTGGGTGTGTGTTGAGAAGCCTCAAAACCATATTATTTTCACACAGGTGTCACCATCCACCTCTTGTCTTTAAACCTGGAGATTTGGTATGTTTTTCAACCGCTCTCTAGCCCATGCCATGATCACTATCAGCGCGCCCATCCACCACATCCCCAACCGCTGGCTGCTGGACCCTGAGACCGGGTAGGTTTATGCTCTCGCCCCCCCTGGGTGGGTGGCAGGCAGGCAGGCAGGCAGGCAGGCAGGCAGGCAGGCAGGCAGGCAGGCAGGCAGGCAGGCAGGCAGGCAGGCAGGTGGCAGATGTGAGGATCCAGCACTGCATGCACACACCTTCTTCTTTCCCATCCCGCGTGCCATCCCTGCCTGCATTCCACCTCCTCACAATATCTCCTCAGCCGACTCAAATGACACCTGGTTACAATGTCACACGACATGTTTTGAGTCGCCTCAAGAGCCAGCACCACATGTGCAACCTTCTTTCCCATCCCACATGCCTGCACGCTACCTGCTCGCAATATCCCCCACCCACCCACAGTGCGCCGTGCCGCGTGGCTTTCCGCTACACAGAGGGCGCCAAAGTGAGGTTGCCGGCAGGCAGCCAGGTGACAGGTGCGCGGAGGCAATAACAAATGCCTTCCTTAGCACCCAACACGCCCTCTCTTTCTCGCTGTTATCTCATTTCCCCTCACCACCAACCCTGCACTGCGCCGTGCAGCATGTCGTTGCGCTGCTCAGTGGAGGGCGCCAAGGTGAGGCCGGCGGTGGGCAGCCGCGTGCCAAGTACCTTCCATTCTTCCCAACGCGCCCTCTCCTCTCCCCCTCCAATCTCCTCCCTCCACACCAACCCGCAGTGCCCCGTGCCGCGTGGATTTCCACTACACAAGCACTAAAGTGAGGGTGGCGGCAGACAGCTCGGTGCCAGGTGTTAGCTAGCAGCCAGCACCGTATGTGCGCACCTTCTTTCCCAAACCACATGCGTCCAACCAAACTATCTCCTCTCAACACACCCCCCCCCACCCTTCACGCCAACCCACAGTGCCCCGTGCAGCATGGCTTTCCGCTACATAGAGGAGGGCGCCAAGGTGCCAGTGGCAGCTGGCAGTAGGGTACCAGATGCAAGGAGCTAGGGCCAAATACCTCCATTCTCCCTCCCACGCCAACCCGCAGTGCGCCGTGCCGCGTCGCTTTCCGCTACACAGAGGAGGGCGCCAAAGTGAGGGTGGCGGCAGGCAGGAGTGCGTCTGGCGCCGTCATTCCCCGGCCAGACATTCTCAAGCACCGGCGCACGCCGCTGCCCACTGAAGGTGAGCCTCTAGCTTGCTCACCTGTGGTGGGTTGGCTCTTTTGCTCTCTCCTGTCCCTTGCATGCCCCACTGACTGGTGGGAGTGCGTGGGGTGCGACGTCATCCTCCCGCCAGACATTCTCAAGCACAGGTGCACACTGCTGCCCACTGGTGGGAGTGCGTGGGGTGTGACGTCATCCTTCGCCACTCCCTCTCTCTCTCCCCTTCTCCCAGCCGCTCCCCATGATACGAGTGCCAAGGCGGCTCATGCAGTGACGTTCGACTACACGTCAGTCACACGAGGGCGGGCTGCTGCCCAATGTGTCGCCCTTCCCACCAATCCCCTCCTCCCCTGTCCCCCGCTCTCCCCTCTCCCTCCCCTGCTGTCAGCTGGCCTGCGGGGCACGAGTCCAGAGGCAGCGCATGCAGTGATCTATGACTACACATCAGGGGAGCGCTGACTCCCACCTCTTGTGCTGTGTTCAGCGCCAAACATATGCCCGCCCTCTCCCCTTCACCTTCTCCTCCCACCTCTCCTCCTCTCAGCTGGTCCGCGGGACACGAGTCCTGAAGCGGCCCATGCAGTGACGTGCGGCTACACGTCAGGGGGGGCGGCCCTCCCGCCCCGCGAGTTGCATGTCTCACCCGTTCACCCTCTTTCTCATTACCCGTCTCCCTTCTCTCAGCTGGTCCGCGGGACACGACTCCAGAAGCAGCACATGCGGTGACCTATGACTACACGTCAGGGGAGGGCGGGCTGCCGCCCCTTGTGTTCCGCAACGAGCGGTGGGAGCTGGACACCGACAAGTGGCAGGAGAGGATCAGAGCCGCCGCCAAGATGCGAGGCTCGGCAGGAGTGCGAGGCTCGGCCAAGCCTGTGGCCAGGGCAAGGCATGGTTCTTCTAAGCCTAAGGAGGCTGAGAGTAGAGCTAAGGGGAAGTGAGGGGGAGGGGGGCAGAGGGGTTGGACGTGGTCTGGCAACGAGGTGTGGGAGGTGGACACTGAGAAGGGGCAGCCAGGCATCAGAGCCGCCGCCAAGATGCGCGGCTCGGCTCGGTCGGGTTAGGGGCTTGACTCTACCAAGCGTGTGGGTGGGCCACGACACGGCTCTAAGCCGGAGGAGGCTGAAAGTGTAGCTAAGGGGAAATGAAAGGAGTACACATACAGTGTAGGACTCCATATTCCTTTTAGACATAGTTTTGGGTTCTATAGCTGACGTGTCAAGCTTTAGCTATGCAAGAAGGGAGGGAACACACCCATTGCATATTCTCATACCAGCAGAGCTTCAATAATGTGCGTGTTGGAAATATCTCAAGGACTTAAGCGTTTCTGAAGTGTAACACTGTACTCGAGGAAGACTACAGGGGAGCACGCGAGTCAACGGAGGTTACACGAGGGGGCGGACAAAGAATGCGAAAGGACTCGAAAGGTCGCAACTGGAGGTTGCGACTGACCGTTACAACATCACGGATGGTAACCGAAGCGGCAATCGAGTCGCTGTGCGACTCGATAAACCGTTCCTGTAACTGTATTCTACAACTGCTTTCTTATCTACTATATATTGCTGTATGCTTGTTTCTTTAATCAATCACTTGTTCTCACATACTAGTACAAGGGTTCAACTGCCTCAACTTCCGCTGCACTACTCCAAGTCTCAAGTCTCTACAAGCTGGGACTTAGTCTCTGCAAAAGATCCTAAGGCTTTTCTCAGCCCAACATGGTATGAGAGCTGGTCAGAGACCAAACTCCCAGCAACTACGTCCTATCAACAACCTGCAACTCAACTCAATTCAACGACTTCATTGATTACAAGACATGGACAACAAGGGCAAGAAAGTCTCTACGGGCTCACCCAGCGCCCAAGAAACTCAACACGGCAACTCTGGTCTGCACACCTCAGGACTGCAGACAGAGACCGGGACTGCTCAAGAAACAACGGGAAGAGTACCAGAGATGGTGACCCCGTCTCCCTCTTCAAGTGTGGACCCGAATCTCATGGAGAGATTCTTCAGCTTCATGTCACACTTCGATCAGCAGCAGCAGACAAGGACACCTGCGCACTCAACACAGAGCAATGGAGGGAATATGGGATTAGCGCCGATGAGCCTCGACAACTCATCCTTCGGGCGACACAATCAAGCGCCTACCTTTGCGCCTTATCATTCTTCGCCGGGGACGTTCGAATTCATGCCGCCCCGTGCCCAGCCAACAGCAGCTGCTTCACAACAAACACCGAATGAAATCTTAAGTTTACAGGCGCAGTTCTCACACGTGATCAAACTTCAGACATCCTCACCGTTCAACGGACACGACTTCTTTACCTGGAGCTTCGAGTTCGAGCTGCTGATGGAGGCCGCGCATCTTCTGGGATACTTCAACGGGTCCCTGCCATTCCCAAGCAACGGCACTGGGAAGGAACAAGAGATCTTCACGTATCAGTCGCTGCTGGCGTACACGGTACTCCTGAGAAACCTGTCACCACAAGAGCAGCAGAGCATCAGAACGTATCGGAGTTATGGAAACTCCGCGGAGCTCGCATGGCACCACCTCAAATGCCTTTACCAAGCAAACGACAGCGTGACACAAAGCAGACTCATGCAACAGCTGACAACAATACAGATGAAGACCGGGGAAAAGGCGATGCAGTATATGAGTCGCTGCCAGACCCTCCGCGACCGCCTGCTTTGGTGCGGAGGAACGATCACTGAAGAAAGCTTCGTGACACTTGTCCTCGCCGGGCTCGGGCCAGAATGGAGAACCACACGATCACTTCTTCGAGCCCACGGAAGAATTTCGGAGATGCACCTCTGCGCCGAGCTTCACGCTGAACAACAGGAGATGGATCTGTTCGAGGAAAGACAACCAAGGAAGCAACAGCAGTTAGTCTTCTACACTCAAAGAAGAAATGACAACAACTACAACCGACGCAGCAAGCAAGATCAACGTGACAACCGAGGACTCACCATCGTGCCGCCGTTCTGCCACAACTGTCAGACTTCCGGGCACTCCAAGGTCAACTGCAACCGCCCTCGCGTTTACCGTGCAGCAGACCCACAAGTCGCTTCCACTCAAGCAAGTCCTCCAAGGCGCTCTTCAACATCTGCACAACAAACACCCAACATCATCAACTGCATGGTACACATCGACAACTGCGCACCCGCTTCACCACCCACTTACGCACCAGACGAAGAGGAATTCCCGCCGCCGCGCTCGCAAGGACTTCAGGTCAACCCGACATACGCTGCAGTCGCTAACGCCGAACCCACCGGGCGGAACACCTGGTTCTTGGACAGTTGCTGCGGTCAGCACATGTGCTCCTCCGGACGCTTCGTACAACACGAGCGACGCCTCAACCGTGACGTCGTCATCACCGTCGCCAACAACGAAAACCTGAAAACAAATAGACAAGGCGTGGTTCAGTTACAATCAATGGAGACAAACGTTATTCTTCAGCTCAACAAGGTCCTCATCGTCGACAATCTGGGATACAACCTATTAAGCGTAAGCCAACTAATGGCTAAGGGGATTCACCTGGAGTGCGACTCCTTCTCCAACGAGTTCCGACTTTACCACGGGAAGGGCGGTCTCTTCATCGGTCGTGCCCTCCTGAAGTCCGGTGTCTTCGTGTTGGACTTCGTCCCCGACCGCGGAACTGCCGACAGCGACGGTATCGTATCCTTCGCCGCCTGGACTCATCCGCCAGATCTTGATCCCGACTTCGACAGCGACGGCTTCTGGCACTCCAACACCATACCTGCAGCAGAAAGAACACGAGCATTAGCAGTTATCAGACAAGAAAGACAAGTACCCGCATGTGTCCCAACAAAACCATCACCTGCAGTATCGGCAGCAGGACCCAGCCGAGTACCACCACCAGCGATACGAGGACAGCCAACCGAAGCAGACCAACTTATGCCCGCCACACGAGAAGCTTGTCGAAGTCCCGCCTCGGTCGTCGCGTTCTTCTCCAACGCCGACATCTACCACCGCTCGCCCGGTCACCGCGCTCCCGACGACATCTGGCACCAACGTCTCGGACATCCTGCAAACAGCACGATACTTCAAACAATCCAAGCAGAAGTGTTAGAACGCAACGCCCTTCTGACGACGAGCGGCCAGGAACTCCGACGACCACGCGCACGGTGTTTCACATGCCCCGAAGCAGATCTTCCTCATCAACCTTTCCCAGCCCATCACAATCCAAGCGCACCCACTTACGCTCCGATGGAAAAGGTCTACAGCGATATTCTAAACATGCCTCGAGACGACACCGAAGCCGACTTCAACTACGTCATCACGTTCATCGACGCCGCAACCAGATACGTCTGGCACTTCAATCTCAAAACGCGCGATCAAGCCTTCGAGGCATTCACCACATGGCTTCCAATCGCCGAACGAGAGTCAGGAACCAAACTCAAGAGTTTCCAGTCAGACGGTGCACTGGAATACCAGTCACAACGCTTCAGGACCTATCTCGCGGAAAGGGGAATCCGACGCCTGGTGTCTCTGCCCTATGCTCACCAGCAGCAGGGGGTAGCAGAACGCATGAACCGGACCTTGCAGACGACGATGCGAAAACTGCTTCTGGGGATGAGGCTGCCCAACGCACTGTGGCCAGACGCGATGACACATGCAGTCCACCTGCACAACCTGTTGTCCTCGTCATCGCTCCCCAACAACGCATCACCACACCTGCTGTGGACGGGAAAAAGGGGCAGCACAAAATTACTTCGAGTTTTCGGCTGCATGGTACAATACAGACCCCACACAGCTCGAGCAGGACGCTTCACTCAACGAGCTCGGTGGGGACTACACCTCGGCATCGCCAAACATTTTCACGCGTGGAAGATCCTCGACATACAAGACAAAAATACGGTGGCATCACGTGATGTTATCTTCTACGAGCGACTGACGCTGCAGCATTACCTGGACAACATTGCCAACTCAGACGACCCCACCGACGGCTTCGCGGGCCTTCGCTCCTTCGCTGACCATGCTGCCGAGGCTGACGCAGCAGAAGAAGACGTACCTGGAGCCTCGGAAGCTGCCGGGCCACTCCCATTCTGTTCCATACCTGTTCCACTCGATGAAGATAATCCCCTCGATAGCAACAACCTCGACACCTTTTACCACTTCGCCGACCAAGGTTACGCTACACCGCACCCCGTCGACACGAATATTTCGGAACGCATCGGCCCCAATTTCTTACCTGACCCCGAAGACGGTGACGAAGCAGCTTATTCGGGGAATGACAATTCCCCTCGACACACACCCACGGGACTCCAGATTCTAGGCCTCTGGGTCTCCGTCCAGCATCCGCCGCCGCCTTCTACGCGTGAGCCTTCAACCTTGTCGCAGGCTCTGGGGGGGGAACATAAGGCAAAATGGAAAGAAGCGATGGAAAAGGAGTTAAAAGCTCTGCAAGACCGAGAAACATGGAAACTGGTACCTGCAACGAGCATCAACGGGAAGAACGTTCTCTCGGGGAAATGGGTGTACCGCATCAAGACCAACTCAGACGGCTCCATCGAACGATTCAAAGCTCGATGGGTCGTACGAGGCTTCGATCAACGATACGGAACCGACTACACAGAAACCTTCGCCCCAGTCTCCCGTCACACCTCATTACGCATCCTACTCGCCGTCGCGGCCACAAAAACACTACCACTACGCCAAATCGATGTCGCGAATGCGTTCCTATACGCACCTGTGGACGCTGAGATCTTCGTCGAACAACCCCACGGATTCATCGACGACCCCACGAAAATATGCCGACTGACAAAATCCCTATACGGGATCAAGCAAGCCCCGCGGCTCTGGCAGCAGCATCTTCACAGCCGTCTCGTAAAAATCGGCTTCCTACAGCTGCCGCATGACCAAGGGATGTACCGACTGCAGAAGGGAAGAGAGTATGTTCTGCTCATCGTCTACGTCGACGACCTGCTCTACATCGGCTCAACTACCGACATCGCCACCTGGTTCGAAGGGGAGCTGAAAGAAGATTTAACTCTCACGGTGTCCGACGAAGTTACGCAGTACCTAGGACTGAACGTCGTCGAAGACGACACGGCGTTCTACCTACACGCTGGAAAGTACTCAAGCACCGTCGCGAAGAAATTCGCTCTAACACCGACTGCGGTCCCAACTCCCTACCGCTACGGGAACAACGGCAGCGCCTCTACAAAACTCCCCGCGAAACAAATCCAGGAGTATCAACAGAAGCTCGGCTGCCTACTATTCGCAGCAGTAACCTGCCGACCCGACCTATCCTATAGTGCGAGTCAGCTGGCGACACATCTGAAGCATCCGCAACAGGAAGATCTCGAAGAACTCAATCGAGCGCTACTCTACTTCGTCTCCACGCCGACGATCGGGCTTACCTACAGCAAGGCAACAACACCGTCCGTACGACTACTCGGATACGTCGACGCCGACCACGCGGGAGACAGCGAAAATCGACGGTCTAGGACGGGCTACATCTACCGACTAGAACCTATCGGAACTATCTCCTGGCAGTCGAGCAAGCAGGAGTTAATCGCACTATCCTCGGCTGAAGCAGAGTATATCGCCCTTTGTACTGCGACCAAGGAAGGACTCTACCTACGAGAGTTACTCGAAGAAGCGAAGATCGCGACCCTGCCCGCCTTCTCACTCCTCTGCGACAACCAATCTGCGATCAAAATCGCGAACAAGGACGGCTTCGCCAATCGAACCAAGCACATCGCCCTGCGGTACTTCTTCGTCAAGGATGAAATCGCGAAGGGGAGACTTCAACTCAGTTACTGCCCGACGACAGAAATGGCCGCAGATTATCTGACGAAGAAATTGGCGAAAGCAAAATTCGACTACTGCATGCTCCTAACCGGGCAAACAAACGCCACCAGATCTGAACACTCCAGCACTCCAGAAACGAAGGGGAGTGTTGGAAATATCTCAAGGACTTAAGCGTTTCTGAAGTGTAACACTGTACTCGAGGAAGACTACAGGGGAGCACGCGAGTCAACGGAGGTTACACGAGGGGGCGGACAAAGAATGCGAAAGGACTCGAAAGGTCGCAACTGGAGGTTGCGACTGACCGTTACAACATCACGGATGGTAACCGAAGCGGCAATCGAGTCGCTGTGCGACTCGATAAACCGTTCCTGTAACTGTATTCTACAACTGCTTTCTTATCTACTATATATTGCTGTATGCTTGTTTCTTTAATCAATCACTTGTTCTCACATACTAGTACAAGGGTTCAACTGCCTCAACTTCCGCTGCACTACTCCAAGTCTCAAGTCTCTACAAGCTGGGACTTAGTCTCTGCAAAAGATCCTAAGGCTTTTCTCAGCCCAACAGTGCGGTTGCAGGTCCATTTCGCTGCACACTTGGAAAAAAGCCGGGGTGAATTGCCCTTGCCATAAGTGGGATGCCTTCCGACTACCCTCTAGTCCTTCCTACACATACATTCAGGAAAATCAACACGGGTGTTACACCTTTGTTCCTGCAGTAGCCACACCTCCCTACACAGCCGTGCGGAGACCATGACTGCATTTCTGCCTTCTGGCAGCAGCATGCAGCTAACCAACCGGCAGCTCCATCACTTAATGAAAGCACAGCCCTCCTCCGCAACTTCCGTGTCTCACGGCAATGGCATGTCGCTAGTCGGGTCCTTCAAAACTCATCGTGAAGCACGCCCATGCATGCCCGGTCGGTGCTCCCTTAGAGGCGCCTCAACACTCTGAACCTAGATCCTTAAGTGCCACAGCATGCCATTGATAAGGTTCCTCAGCTTGTCTCTCAGCACATCCATGCCTGGCCAGTCCTCCCACTCAAAGACCGCCGCAAACGTGACCAGTGTGAACGCCACGAGCCCCTGCTTCAGCTGCCCCTGGCTGTGCAGCTGCCACTGCCCGTGTGCGTTATGGCATGTCACTGATGAGGTTCTTCAGCTTATCACGAAGCACATCCATGCCCGGCCGGTGCTCCCAGTCGAAGAAGATGGCAAACTTAACCAGTGTGAACGCCACGAGCACCTGCTTGAGCTGCCACTGGCCGTGCAGCTGGGGGTCCACCACGAGGTTGGGGTCGGGGAAGTCCTTCGCGGTGACCAGCTTGCGCAGGTCCTTGAACCGCGCGTCCAGGGCGGAGCACCCGGACACCAGCTCGAGAAGAAAGATGCCGAAGGCATAGGTGTCGGACTTGCGACTCAACATGCCTGGTCAGGGAGAAGGGGGGGGGAGGGGGGGCATTGGGTAGAGCGAGGAGAGGAGTGTTGAGGGGGTGGGCAAGAAGAGGGGCCGTGAGCGCCTGTTTATAGACGCAACTGCCCATCGACCACGAGGTTGGGGTCGGGGAAGTCCTTGGTGGTGACCAGCTTGCGCAGGTGCTTGAACCGAGCGTCCAGGGCGGAGCACCCCGATACGAGCTCGAGCAGAAAGATGCCGAATGCATACGTGTCCGACTTGCGACTCAACATGCCTGGTGTGTGTGGGGGGGGAGGGGGAGGGGGGGGGGGGGGCACGGGGTAGGGGGAGGAGAGGAGAGTTTGATCTTGGAGTCGTCTCAAAAGTCAGCTCAGAGCAGCCCGGGATGATCTCCATCAGACACATGTCAAACGCATGTGTGCTGGACTTGCGGCTCAACATGCCTGGCGGGGGCTCAGGGTAGAGCAGCTTTTCCATGAGAGAGAGGAGGCACGCGTTAGGGAGAGGAGAGGAAAGCTGAGTGGGCAAGAAAGGCGGCACGGGCAGAGGAGGGGACGAGGAGCTGAGTCTGTCTGACCTGAGTCGAAGTAGATGGGGTCGATGTACCCCACCGACCCCATCACCCGCGTCTGCACGTGCGTCTTCCAGTCGTCCACCGCTCGAGCCAACCCGAAATCAGCCACCACGGGAGTTAGGTCCTGCAGCACAAGGGCGAGAGGACGGGCGGCACAAGTGAGGAGAATCAAGTCAAAAGCTGAAGCTTCGGTAAGGTGGTGAGACGGCATGGATCCCGTCAACCACACTATTGGAGAAAGGGAATGCATGCACGGGAATGCATGCAAGGGAATGCACGCAAGGGAATGCATGCAAGGGAATGCACGCAAGGGAATGCACGCAAGGGAATGCATGCACGGGAATGCATGCAAGGGAATGCACGCAAGGGAATGCACGCAAGGGAATGCATGCACGGGAATGCATGCAAGGGAATGCATGCAAGGGAATGCATGCAAGGGAATGCATGCAAGGGAATGCATGCAAGGGAATGCATGCAAGGGAATGCACGCAAGGGAATGCACGCAAGGGAATGCATGCACGGGAATGCATGCAAGGGAATGCATGCAAGGGAATGCACGCAAGGGAATGCATGCACGGGAATGCATGCAAGGGAATGCACGCAAGGGAATGCACGCAAGGGAATGCATGCACGGGAATGCATGCAAGGGAATGCATGCAAGGGAATGCATGCAAGGGAATGCACGCAAGGGAATGCATGCAAGGGAATGCATGCAAGGGAATGCATGCAAGGGAATGCATGCAAGGGAATGCACACAAGGGAATGCACGCAAGGGAATGCACGCAAGGGAATGCACGCAAGGGAATGCATGCAAGGGAATGCATGCAAGGGAATGCATGCATGGGAATGCATGCAAGGGAATGCATGCATGGGAATGCATGCAAGGGAATGCACGCAAGGGAATGCATGCATGGGAATGCATGCAAGGGAATGCACGCAAGGGAATGCATGCACGGGAATGCATGCAAGGGAATGCATGCAAGGGAATGCATGCACGGGAATGCATGCAAGGGAATGCATGCAAGGGAATGCATGCAAGGGAATGCATGCAAGGGAATGCATGCAAGGGAATGCATGCAAGGGAATGCATGCAAGGGAATGCATGCAAGGGAATGCATGCAAGGGAATGCATGCAAGGGAATGCACGCAAGGGAATGCATGCAAGGGAATGCATGCACGGGAATGCATGCAAGGGAATGCACGCAAGGGAATGCACGCAAGGGAATGCATGCGCGGGAATGCATGCAAGGGAATGCACGCAAGGGAATGCACGCAAGGGAATGCATGCACGGGAATGCATGCAAGGGAATGCACGCAAGGGAATGCACGCAAGGGAATGCATGCAAGGGAATGCATGCAAGGGAATGCATGCACGGGAATGCATGCAAGGGAATGCATGCAAGGGAATGCATGCAAGGGAATGCACGCAAGGGAATGCACGCAAGGGAATGCATGCACGGGAATGCATGCAAGGGAATGCATGCAAGGGAATGCACGCAAGGGAATGCATGCACGGGAATGCATGCAAGGGAATGCATGCAACGGAATGCACGCAAGGGAATGCACGCAAGGGAATGCACGCAAGGGAATGCATGCACGGGAATGCACGCAAGGAAATGCGTGCAAGGGAATGCCTGCACGGGAATGCATGCACGGGAATGCATGCACGGGAATGCATGCACGGGAATGCATGCACGGGAATGCATGCAAGGGAATGCATGCAAGGGAATGCATGCAAGGGAATGCATGCAAGGGAATGCATGCAAGGGAATGCATGCAAGGGAATGCATGCAAGGGAATGCATGCAAGGGAATGCATGCAAGGGAATGCATGCAAGGGAATTCACGCAAGGGAATGCATGCAAGGGAATGCATGCACGGGAATGCATGCAAGGGAATGCACGCAAGGGAATGCACGCAAGGGAATGCACGCAAGGGAATGCATGCACGGGAATGCATGCAAGGGAATGCACGCAAGGGAATGCACGCAAGGGAATGCATGCACGGGAATGCATGCAAGGGAATGCACGCAAGGGAATGCATGCACGGGAATGCATGCAAGGGAATGCACGCAAGGGAATGCACGCAAGGGAATGCATGCACGGGAATGCATGCAAGGGAATGCATGCAAGGGAATGCATGCAAGGGAATGCACGCAAGGGAATGCATGCAAGGGAATGCATGCAAGGGAATGCATGCAAGGGAATGCATGCAAGGGAATGCACACAAGGGAATGCACACAAGGGAATGCACGCAAGGGAATGCATGCACGGGAACGCATGCAAGGGAATGCACGCAAGGGAATGCATGCATGGGAATGCATGCAAGGGAATGCACGCAAGGGAATGCATGCACGGGAATGCATGCACGGGAATGCATGCACGGGAATGCATGCAAGGGAATGCACGCAAGGGAATGCATGCAAGGGAATGCATGCAAGGGAATGCATGCAAGGGAATGCATGCAAGGGAATGCACACAAGGGAATGCACGCAAGGGAATGCACGCAAGGGAATGCATGCAAGGGAATGCACGCATGAGTCTTGGAACAACCTTCAACGTGATGCACTGTCACTCCCTCCGCTCGCCACTCTGCTCCACGCTCCGTTCACATTTTCTGCGAACCCCCAGACACCTCAATCTCCACACCTGGGTTTCCTGGCTGCTCCTCTCTCAGCAGCACGAAGTTGTTGCCATGGATGCTCGTCGGGGCCTCTGCACACCTGACTCTCTCCTCCCCTCACCCCTCTCAGCAGCACCTCTCGCTCTAACCACCACATACGTGGCTCCTCTCCCCTCACCTCTCCCCTCCCCTCACCTCCCCCATCCCCCCACCTCTCTGAGTAGCACGTTGGTCGCCTTGAAGTCGCGGTGCACAAAGTTGTTGGCATGGATGGTCGTAAGGGCCTCCGCACACCCCAGCGCCACCTGCAGCCGCTGCTTCCAGGGGAACGACACCTCGCCCTTGGCAGCTGAGACCACAGGTGGGGGAGGATGGGGTGGGGGGGGTGGGGGGCGAGGAGTTGGGGGCTGTATAGCAGGGTGTTGTTTAGGCGCCTCAGAAATCGTGTCAGCCCAGCCCAGCGCCGCCGCAGACGCTGCTCCCAGGGAAAGGACACCTCTCCTTTCGCAGGTGAGAGCACAGGAGGGGGCAAGGTGGGGCCGGAGGGCGGTAGAGCAGGGATTTTATTAGGCGCCTCAAAAATCGTCTCATCCCAGCGCACGTGCTGCTTCCAAGGGAAGGGCGCCTCGCCCCTCGTAGCTGATAGCTCAAGGAGACAAGGGCAGAGGGAGAGCAGGGCAGAGGTAGAGCAGGGCAGCGGGAGAGCAGGGCAGAGGGAGAGCAGGGCAGAGGTAGAGCAGGGCAGCGGGAGAGCAGGGCAGAGGGAGAGCAGGGCAGAGGTAGAGCAGGGCACAGGGAGAGCAGGGCAGAGGGAGAGCAGGGCAGAAGGAGAGCAGGTGGGGCGCGGAGGGGAGGGTGGAAGAGCAGGGTGCCACGAAGGAGGCAGGAGGAGCGGAGCGAGCAAGGGAGACGAGAGGCGGTGGGAAGGAAAGGGAGAGGAACGGGGTGCAGTGATGGGTAGAAGACGGAGAAAGCGCACAGAGAGGAGAACCGAGGGTGGCAGCGAGCGAGGGGAAGGGAGGGGGGGTGAGGAGAAGGTGAAGTTGGTGATGGCAGGTGATGCACGGGATGAGTAGGTGTAAAACGCGTACGGGGATAAGCTGTCGTGAAAAACGAACCAAGCACACTAGGATCTCACATCCGCTCCCATCGACCCCAGAACCACTCACAGCGACACCCCATCCTGCATCGCACAGGAGCACCGTTCAGTGCCTAGAGGCCGTGGCACGGGGCATACCTTTGGGCACAAGGCATACATTTGGCATGGGGAGGGGGGTGGGGGGCATACCTTTGGCGAGGTAGCTGCCGGTGTCCCCCATGGGCACGTGTTCGTAGATGAGGATGGGCGTGGCGCCCACCACATAGCCCTCCAAGCCAAGCGAAGGATGTTCGGATGATGCACCCGGGGCATACCTTCAGCACGGGGGGGGGGGGGGGAGGGCATACCTCTGGCGCAGGGCACACCTTTGGCCCGGGGCAGCATACCATTCTTTTCGCTCGCATGACATGAGGCGTACCTTTGGCGAGGTAGCTGCCGGTGTCCCCCATGGGCACGTATTCGTAGATGAGGATGGGCGTGGCGCCCACCACATAGCCCTCCAGGCGCAGGATGTTGGGGTGATGCACCCGCGCCATCACACCCACCTCCGTCTGCCATGCCGCCATGCCATGCCGCCATGCCATGCCACCAAGGAAGTAGCAGTCATTTAATGAGATACAGCACATACAGCATGCGGCCAAGGGTATGGGGGAGGGATGGGAATGATGCCGGACACGGGGAACGGAAATGGCGATCAGCATGCGACATGCAGCATGCCTATTGGCATGTGACACACAGCATGCCTTATTGGCATGTGACACACACAGCATGCCTTATTGGCATATGACACACACAGCATGCCTTAATGGCAGCTTGCCTTATTGGCATGTGACACACACAGCATGCCTTATTGGCATGTGAGACACACAGCATGCCTTATTGGCATGTGAGACACACAGCATGACTTATTGGCATGTGACACACACAGCATGCCTTATTGGCATGTGACACACACAGCATGCCTTATTGGCATGTGACACACACAGCATGCCTTATTGGCATATGACACACACAGCATGCCTTAATGGCAGCTTGCCTTATTGGCATGTGACACACACAGCATGCCTTATTGGCATGTGAGACACACAGCATGCCTTATTGGCATATGACACACACAGCATGCCTTATTGGCAGGTGACACACACAGCATGCCTTATTGGCATGTGAGACACACAGCATGCCTTATTGGCATGTGACACACACAGCATGCCTTATTGGCATGTGACACACACAGCATGCCTTATTGGCATGTGACACACACAGCATGCCTTATTGGCATGTGACACACACAGCATGCCTTATTGGCATGTGACACACACAGCATGCCTTATTGGCATGTGACACACACGCACACACATGGCGTCTGATCAGCACGCAGCAGCAGGCTGGCAATCTGAACCGTTCATCATCGCATGGGAGGGGGAAGCCATCCTCCTTCCAACGGCTCAGATTCATCCAGGCACAGATTGCTGCGTCTGGTAAGTTGGAAGTTTCTTAGCTATTTTCACATCCACTCCTGCTTCCAGCCCTTGTTGTGCACGCGCTGTGCGTATGTGCAAGCATGCATGTTGGCATGTGTGCATGTGTGCATGTTGGCATGTGTGCATGTTGGCATGTGTGCATGTTGGCATGTGTGCATGTGTGCATGTTGGCATGTGCGCATGTGTGCATGTTGGCATGTGTGCATGTGTGCATGTTGGCATGTGTGCATGTGTGCATGTTGGCATGTGTGCATGTGTGCATGTGTGCATGTTGGCATGTGTGCATGTGTGCATGTTGGCATGTGTGCATGTGTGCATGTTGGCATGTGTGCATGTGTGCATGTTGGCATGTGTGCATGTTGGCATGTGTGCATGTTGGCATGTGTGCATGTGTGCATGTTGGCATGTGTGCATGTGTGCATGTTGGCATGTGTGCATGTGTGCATGTTGGCATGTGTGCATGTGTGCATGTTGGCATGTGTGCATGTGTGCATGTTGGCATGTGTGCATGTGTGCATGTTGGCATGTGTGCATGTGTGCATGTTGGCATGTGTGCATGTGTGCATGTTGGCATGTGTGCATGTGTGCATGTGTCGTAACCATGCATGCATGCCCACTCTCTCGTCTCACAATGAAGCTGTCGATGCCATTCGTGAAGTGGTCTTCAACCATCAGCTTAACAGCCACCTCGTACGGCCTCCCTTCCCCCCGGCTCACGTGCATGTTATCGTGAGCATGTGTGTGTGCATGTGCATGCCTGCTCTTCTCTCTGTCTCACAATGAAGCTGTCGATGCCATTCGTGATGTGGTCTTCAGCCATTAGCTTAACAGCCACCTCGTATGGCCTGCCTCCCCCGGGGTCCGCCAGCCGCCCATGGAACACCACTCCAAAGCCCCCCCGCCCGATCTCCGTGGCAAACGAGTTGGTGGCTGCCTGCACCTCCTGGTAGTTGTACTGCGACACCACGCCCGCTGCTATCGACTTGCGTGTCGGATACCCGCCCCCATGGGCTGGAGGGGGAGGGGGCGCTGTAGCACGGAGGCAGCGCGGGGGGAGAGGAGAAGGGAGAGGGTTGATGCGCCTGAGACGAGTTGGTGGCGGCCTGCACGGCCTGGAAGTTGCATGGCGGCACCATGCCGCCTGCTACTCACACGCGCATTGGATACCCCCCTGCCTGGTGGAGCGGGGGCGCTGCTGCAAGAAAGGGGAAAGGAGGGAGGGATGGGATGGGAGTGGGGAGGTTTGAGGCCCATGAGAAATCTTTCCAGTGGCAAACGAGTTGGTGGTGGCCGGCACCTCCTGGTAGTTACACTGCGACACCACTCCTGCTGCTATCGACGTGCGCAGTGAGTATCCGCCCGCATGGAGGGGCGGGGGCGCTACTGCAAGAAAGCAGCGCGGGGGGGAGGGGGAACGGGAGGGGGGAACGGGAGTGGGGAACGGGAGGGGGGAAGGGGGGGAGAGAAGGTTGAGGCGCCTCAGCAGTCACATCAGTGGCAAACGAGCTGGTGGCGGCCGGCACCTCCTGGTAGTTGGCGGCGTGAGGCAGTGCGGCGAGAGGCTGGTTTGGCGTGAGGCTGGTTTGGCGCGAGGCTGGTTTGGCGTGAGGCTGGTTTCAGGCGGGACTGGGTGCGGCAGACCAAAGGCGCAGATGCTTCAAAAAGAAGGTGCCCGTACTAGGTCCGGGGGGATGGGACCAGATAACGCGAGTGGGGAGGGACCAGCACCTGGTTGTCTCGGTGGTGCGGGCTGCGCCGCGTGCGGCGGTGCGGGCGACGGTGCGGGAGGCGGGTGGCCGTTGGGAATTGGGCGGGCAGGGGGAGGAGGGCCTCTCGGCTGCGGCGGCGGCGGCTGCGGACGCGGCGGAGGTTTCCTGGGCGACGGGGGGGGCGAGGAGAAGCAGTTTCCCATGACGCACGAGGGCAGAGCGAGGGGAGCGGGGGGGCTGCGGGGAAGGACGGAGGGAGAAAGGCGGAAGGATGTGGGGATGAACGGGTGAGAGTAGGGTTATGGGAGTGTAGGGTGGAGTGAGACGGGGAACTTGCGGATAGGCGACTTATGATGGCCGAATGATGCAAGGGCGAAAGGAATGAAGGCGATGGCCATGGGCAAGAAAAGGCGAGAGTGGAGTAAAGAAACGGGGAAAGACGAGAGGCCAAGTCGTAGAATTGATCGCGTGTTAGCTTACCGTGCGATATATCGTTGCAACAGATAAACTTAAAGAACTGTATTCTAACCTAAAGCGTTTGTAATACACAATATATGCACGTTGCTCCGGGACGAGCCTATTACTAATGGAGTCGTCGGGTACAGCGACCAAATAACTTAAACGAGTCGAACGGAGCCTGCAATAACATCTTTCCCGAAGAGCTTAGCTCGAACCTTCGCTAATCAATGGCGAGTCTAATGCTAAGCCGTCTACCAGACGTGCTGTACGCTAGCAGAAATTTGCCGCACTAAACGAGTTAGTAGTAGCCAACGAATTGGAGGTCCCGCGCCCTAAGCATTTACTAGCTCTAATCGAAGTTCTGAAACCAGCTGGAGTTTTCAAGGTGTAACTGGGGAATTGCCGTGGCTGAGGTGGAGGGGAACGGGGTTCTCTCGAGGTGTGTTGTAAGCTGAACAAAACGCTCGTCAAACTGGGTTGGATGTGGTTCAGTGAGAAACAGAGCGTATATAGTGGATGCAGCAGTGGTGAGCCTTCCACCCTCGAGATTGGCGAGTGTAACCTGCCCTCGAGGTCCGAATGGAGGGGAGCGGAACTGCGAGCCACAGCCTTGACAGATTTTGACTCGCGCGGTGCGCGGAGAATTGGCGGAACCACCGTGAGAAACCTGGGGAAATGCCCAGTTGGCGTACAAACAACACCCCACCGTGCCCGCCACGACTTGTCCGCCCTTCGCGAAGGAACACAGCTGCGCGATCATGGGTGGCACGGCGTAACGTATACTCGTTTCTGAGTATAGTATGTACTGCATAACCTCACTCAGATAATACAGGCTCTTCAATTTTACTCTAGAGCGTCCATGCCCCATCCACCGTCAAGTTTACTTGTTGAAATCAAGGAGCCAAGTTCCAAATATGATGTAAAGAATGTTTTTTTCGCTTGTAAATGCTGATTATCTTTGGCAACTGTAAATTTTTATGCATAAATGGTTGTACAAACGGTGCGGTATGACGTTATGTGAGATTCTGAAGCGGGTACTGTTCTTGTAGGCCAACCGCATTCCCATGCAAAAGCCAAATCCTGGTGGTATGTGTATGTGCTGCCTATGTGTTAATCTGCTGCGATTGAAGTCCCACCAGCACCCGCTCTGCACACGAAGGGGGAAAGGGACACTGGAACATCAGTACCCTGAATAGCTGGGAGGAAAGAAAGTGTCGCAAGAATACTGAAACCCTAGATTGTTTGGGGAGTGGAAATGAAATGACTCTGACAGGTATACGCTACACGGTAATCGGTTACCTAGTGCAATTAGGAGCCTTCAAATGCTCGGACACTGTTGCTGTGAGCAGCACTGCTGCTGTGAGCGGGCACTGCTGTTGCGAGCGGGCACTGCTGCTGCGAGCGGGCACTGCTGCTGCGAACAGGTACTGCTGCTGCGAGCGGGCACTGCTGCTGCGAGCAGGCACTGCTGCTGCGAGCAGGCATTGGTGCTTTGAGCACGCACTGCTGCTGTGAGCAACTGGCGCGATTGGTGTTAAGGGCACTACTTTTGAACTGACTCAAATGAGATGTTTCCCCTTTACTAAGTGCATAGCACGTATGGTACCCCCCTCACTTGCCTAGCACTCTCCTGTCGCACTTGAATAACACACACCCGTCTGACGTGGTAACATGACACACACTTGCCTAACTTGCCTCACACTCACCTGTCTGACTTGCCTCACACTCACCTGTCGGACTTGCCTCACACTCACCTGCCTGATTGCATTCTCCATGGCGTTGCAGGGCTCGGAGGACACGCGCTCGCAGATGGGCCCACATCGTGAGACATTGTGAAAGGGCGACTTTTGAGTCAACTCGAAAGTCACCTCACACTCACCTGTCTCACTTACTTTACACTCAGCTGTCTCATTTACCTCACACTCACTTCTCTGACTTGCCTCATAATCACCTGTCTGACTTGCCTCACACTCACCTGTCTGACTTGCCTTACACTACCCTGTCTGACTTGCCTCACACTCACCTGTCTGACTTGCCTCATGCTCGCTTGTCTGACTTGCCTCGCACTCACCTATCCGACTTGATGCCCCAGACACACCGCAGCCATGCAGTCATGATGGCACCCCATCGGCACTCACGATCAGAAGCTGACCAAGGTGCCACCCGCGGCCAAGTGCTGTGCCCGTCTCAATGCCCCAGACACACCGCACCCATGCAGTCATGATGGCACCCCATCGGCACTCACGATCAGAAGCTGACCAAGGTGCCGCCCGTGGCCAAGTGCTGTGCCCATCTCGATGCCGAGACACACCGCACCCATGCAGTCATGATGGCACCCCATCGGCACTCACGATCAGAAGCTGACCAAGGTGCTGCCCACAGTCAGCTACTGCGGCCATCGCGATACGTCACACAGTCGTGATACATCGTGATACCTTGTGACACGTCAATAGTAGTACGGTCCTCGTGATACTTCTGCCACTGCTTCTGCCACTACGGTCACTAAGCTGTACGTAGTGTGTCTCAAGGTCCAGCAGGTGCTGGCTCTTCTGCGCCGACACAAACACACCCATCGTGCAAAACGAATGGAGGTACAAGCTACCACTGCCATCCCCGTTGCTGCCATCGGCATCACTACCAGCACCACTAAGAACTGGCAGAGGTATGGAGGGGTTGGCAGGGTAGGGGCGCGTGGGCGGCAGATAGCAGACGTTCACGCCACATCGGAGAACTCGCCCCGCCAAAGGCAGGTCGATGCTCTGGAGAGCGGATCTGGGGAGGTGGCGATGCACGGGGCCTTGGGGGAACAAGTGGCCATTTTGAGTCGACTCAGCGAATTGGGCTTTTATAGTTCTGCATGGGGCATTGGCTTTTGAGAAAACCAGTCTTGTGGGCATGGAGTATTGTGCATTGGGGAAGAGGAGTCACAGCGGGAAGGGAATGAGGAGGAGGCGAATTGAGAGGAGGAAGCAAATAAGCGAGAAGAGGGGAGTGAGAAAGGAGGGTGAGAGAGGAGAGTGAGAGAGGGAAGCGAGAGAGGCAAGTGAGAGAAGCGAGTGAGAGAGGTGAGTGAGAGAGGGGATTGGTATGTGCAAAGTTAGGAAGGGAGATGCATGGATCATGTAAAATCTCAAATAGGAGTGTGTAGCCCGGTGTGTCGTTGAGATGAGAGGAGACGAGCGCACGGGATGTCGCTGAGAAACAACACACGGGGTAGCAAGCAGCGACACATGAAGAGGCACAAGTAGAGGCACAAACCGTGGCACAAGCAGTGGCACAAGCAGTGGCAGAAGCAGTGGCAGAAGCAATGGTAGAAGCAGTGGCAAAAGCAGTGGCACTAGCAATGGCCCAAGCAGTGGCCCAAGCAGTGGCCCAAGCAGTGGCCCAAGCAGTGGCCCAAGCGGTGGCCCAAGCAGTGGCCCAAGCAGTGGCACAAGCAGTGGCACAAGCAGCGACGCAAGCAGCGGCACAAGCAGCGGCTCAAGCAGTGGCGCAAGCAGTGGCACAAACAATGGTGCAAGCACTAGCCCAAGCAGTGGCGCAAGCATTGGCACAAGCGATGGCACAAGCGGTGGCCCAGCCAGCGTCGCAAGCAGGGGCCCAAGCAGTGGCACATGTAGTGGCACAAGCAGTGGCACAAACAGTGGCACCAGCAGTGGCACAGGGTCCACGGTTCATTAAACACTGTCCAACCTGCAGGCAAAGGAGAGACTTTGTCAAGTAACTGGGGTTGAAACAGCTCGTAGAGGGGCTGGAAACTTTTGCGAGGGAAATTGTTGACAGTCTCAAGACAGCAAGCGAGCCCAAGCAGTCAAGGAAGGCATGACGGGAAAATACCTGATGTGTAGAAATTTGGGCTAGCCAACTAATGAAGTTGGGCCAACCAACCAATCAACTTTGGGTGGCAACCAACTTTGGATAATACTTAGACATGGTTAAAACGCGATGCGATATAATATTGCATCACACTTGCTGCTATCGAGATTTGTATCGTACGGTATAATATCGCATCACTGCGATATATTCTTCTTCAAAAACGAACATCGCATATCGCTTTTAGGGTGCGGTATGAAAATATATCGAAAAAAAAAAACGTTATATCGTGCGATGCGATATAGTATCGCATCGCATTTAGGGGCCAGTGGTTAAAACGGATTTCCCTCCCTAGAAAAGGGTTTCCCCACACCACATGGCGGCTTTCCTAGGTGCGTGTGTAATTATGTAAGTGAAATTTGATGGGAGATGGGGATTTCGGGGTCCCTCTTTCATGTAGAGTGTGTTTGAGGAGCGGGGGTTGGATTCTGTAGATGCAGGGGAGTTTGGTGGAAATTGGTTGGAGTTCCAACCAATAGACTTGGGGGGTCGAAATTTCAATCCAACCCCCTGAATCCCTTCAACCGCACACCACCACATCCCATCCATATAATCCACTCATCCACCGCTCACCGCCCATGTCTACTTTGAACCCTCAACCGCATTGCACTCATTCCCATCTAGAATTTCCAACCCTTCCTCTAGTGTACTCCAAGCTCCTCACACAAACACCTCCCCGATTAAAGCTCAGGTCCCAAATTAGTTAGGCAGGCATCAAATTGGGCCTGGTTTGATGCTGACCATGCTCGCAAACTACCCCACAAAAATCAGAGCCAACTACCCCTTCGCCAAAGTGAGGGGCAAAGTCGAGGTTATCTATGGTGGAAATCAAGTTTGGAAACTGGACCCAGTTTCATTCGTGCAGTTTCTGAAATTGGATTGGGCTTGCCAAACCCAACTCCCATCAAACCCTGCTCTCGCTAGCTTTCCAATCAACGGCTGTAATTGTGCTTACACATTGGGACTTCATGTGTCCCTGTGTCTCAGCTGTCAGATCCGCGTTTGGCCCAACTTGAACTCCCCAAATGACACCGGGCCCAGCTTGCATACGAAATCCTGCGCGAAGTAACAGAATCACGTTGTTTCACACCCAATAACACAATTATTTTTTCCACCCGCCCACCCCAAATTCTGCCCGTTGACGTGCGTGAACTAATTTGGGATCTGGGCTTTAAAACGCCAACTCCAAACCGGCACGTGGCATTTCCGCATGCCATTTCAGCAACCTATACCTAGACTTTAGCTTATCGCATCTGATTTCGCAAAGTTCAGAGCCCGCGCCCATGTTCCAACCCCCTTGCTGGCGAAATTCCGCAACACTATCACCTGCGATATTTTTATTTCGCATATCACATTATATCCCATAAAAAACCCAGGGATAAAGATGTGATACAATTATATCGTGCGATACGCATCGCATCGCATTGCTGCAATATAATTCTGGAAAATGACATATCGCTATTGCATTTTTCAATATATGCGATATTATATCGCGTGATGCGATGCGATATGACCATGTCTATTTATACATCCTAAACAAAACACTAGAGCAGCCAA